AATAAAATATCCAACAGTGATGCAACATAAACACCATACCCTTATCTGGTATGGATTTTGGAGGGACCACATGTCATTTTTATATTTACGGTTTTACATTTTAGACTGGGGTGCCCCAAGATTGTGCATACTTTTAAAGGGTGCCGTGACTGAAAAAGGTTGAGAAATGCTGTCGTAGACTGCCTAGGATGGGTTATCTATGACAAGAAAGGAATACTTCCTTCCCCCAAATTATAGTATAATCAGTTCATTCCGATTGTTAATTGGTTTATATAAGCGTTAATATAAATGATAGGTCTGCTTTAATACCATAACATAAATATTTGTGTTACAGTTCCCTAATCTGCACAAAATAACAGTTATTCCTCTCTGTATTTACATTTCCTATGGAGCTAATTGCTGCCTGTTGGTTGTTTCTATTGTAGGCTAAAGAAGGTTTTAAGTGATTGCTAATAACAGCTCTGCAGGAGGACAATCTGACTACAGAGGACCACAATTCATCTCATGTTCAGTACTCGTGTGTGGAGCCGGTCTGTTCTCTAGTGTCTACAGAACTATATATGAAATCACAATTGACAGACCCCCACTAATCAACAATGCTTTCTAGTAAGGTTACAGTAAGAAAACAAGACATGCATGTCTTGCATCTATGGAGTAACTGTATACAATTACTGTGGCATATAGTGGTAATAAGTAAATAAACAGTAGTAGAGTAGTAGATCATGGATCTTGAACAGGAGTATTATGTCCACACAAGAGGAGTTTATTCTGTCCAAGTTTCAGTGAATTGCAGTCTATCTTTTGTAAAGATCAATTTTGCCTTGACAAAGATGGACTGCAATCCATGGAAATGTTGGACAGAATAAATTCTTCTTGTTTGGACATATACTCCAGCTCAAAACTTGTGGCTGACCCTACTTCTATTTCCTATGTATCTACTGATGTTACTTTGCTGCACTGCACCTGGGCAGATACTCCCTGGGCACTATGCGGGGACTTCCAATGGAATTTATAAGGTAATAAGCTCCCAACTTTCTGAGAGAGGGAAGCCTTTTACTAGAGCAATTATGGTCAACCTCCGACCTACCTATGCATACATCCCTGGTTGGATGAAGGGTTTACAGTAAAATAATGCGAAACTGTACATTTTGTACAGCGGTCTATACCAGTGGCGTAACAATAGCCTGGGGGTGGAAGGGGGCCCCATTAAGGATTGCAGAAGTTGCTGTTTATACTGACCCTGTACCCCCTGTGACATTTCACATGAAGAAGAGCTGACATTAAATGTACAGGAGGAGACAATGCAGACAGCTCTCCTGCTACCCAACTTTCATTGACAGTAGGGAGGTCGCTGAGGGGCCCCATCAAATTGTTGTTATGGGGCTCCATGATCTAAAGTTACGCCCCTGGTCTATGCGTCAGGCTAAAAAGAGGGACAGAGGGATTTGTTTCCAAATCAGGGACAGTTGGGAGCAATGTGTCTAGTGACATTTTGAGTTCATACTTGTTAGTCTTCAGGGATCCACAGATCACAGCCAGTGATGCAATCTTCTTCCTGATTATTCTTTCTCTCTTCTTCCTGGCACTCCTGTCCCCACATGTGTTCACCACCTTGTCACTGTTTGCTGGCTTCTTATTTTGCCCACTCATGTCCAATATCAGGCCTGGGGGGAAATAAGCTCCATAATAAGGTACATAAAGGTCCTGATTTACTACAGTCATCTTTTTTTTCACCCGGTGATCCTGCCAGTAACATGTTTCCTGTCCTAGGGTGACAACGCTCACTCACTGCGATGTATGTAGGGAGAAACAGCATTGTCACCCTAGATCAGGAGGTGTAATGGTGACTGCTCCTTATCTCCATTACATACGGGAAGGTTTTCTGTCACCCAGAGAAGAAAACTGGGCAGGGCTGACAACACTGTATGGGATTTCAGTGCAGCACAGGCAAAGGAAGGCAGGAGCACATTGTATCTCTGGCATGATCAACAGGTAATTTCTGTACCTGCAGAGTTTTTAAAGGGACAAAACATGGAAAGGTGTGCATGTATGGGAGAGTTGTATTGGATTCCCATTATTACACTTTTAGCACTACTTGAAGAAACTACTGACGCCTGTTAGCATCTTGTTTGAAATGACTGCCAGCGCTTCCACTGTCATCTGTGTTTAACTTTCCTAAATATCTTCAACAAAGCCGCTTGTAGCTTGCTAAAAGGTTTAACAATGTGTTGTGAAAGCTCGCAGTACATATTGCTCTTAAACACGCTGCAGCCCATATGTACATGACCTTCCAATCATATCATAACTAATAGTCATCAACACCCCTGTAATGATCAGCCCTGACTGCACCCCTACTGTATATTTCTCTCCATGAAGGCGGCCATGGCTACCTTCTGCTTCATACTTTAATAAGCTGCCTTGATTTAACCTCTCATTACACTCCCAGGACCTGAGGTTGGAGTTCAGATCTTTATGAAGGAATTTCAATTGGTTATTGAGCAGAAGCTATGGACTGAGTCCAGTGTTAGGGTTGCCACCTGTCCAGGATTCACCCGGACAGTTTGGGTTTTGAATGCTGTGTCCGGGTTTCATGGAAGCAGAAACCCAGGCACAAGGGGGGTGATTTACTAACCTAAACACACGCACGCACCAGGTGCGTGTGATTTTTACACAGCAAAACGTATTTATCAACCAAACACGAGCAACGTGTCACATTTTCACGCCGTTATGGCGCATTTTTATGTATTTACGTACGTGCGCGTCATGTAGCATGCGCCATAGGCTACACGCCGCTCTAATAGCGGCATGCAAGTGTCTAAAAGCATATTTCCACTAATGCCATATATGGAAAAATCATGCACATGATGCATATATAATGCTGCTTCACAGTTTAGACAAAAATGGTTAGCTCATTTACATTCCTGCATTCATCAACGCGAGCAACACAATGTAGAGCTAATTTACACAACATCACCTTGCAATTCATGCAGGGCTTTGCTCAACACACCTGATGGGTGTGTACACACTACAAAGGTGTCTAGATTCCACCCATAGATCATGCTGGGAGGGAACACACTACAGAGGTGTATACTTGTTCGTGGCGTGTTTATAAGGTTAGTAAATCAACCCCAAGATGTCAGGCAGACAGGGGCAACCAAAATTAAGATGGGGGCTACTGGCCCCCCACTGAAAATAGTCTCAACTGTGATATTTATATATGAATGGGCGGCACTATTTACATATGAATAAGCCGCGACTCATTCTCCCAAGAAAAAATGTCTGTGCGTCTCTAGAGTGTTTGGGTTTCGCTTGAAGAAAAGGTGGCAACCCTATCTAGTGTGCCAGTAGCCAGTAATGATACCACGGAGACGTATCTCCTAAGGTCAATGGGATCCAGTCCCTCTGCACACCCATCTGCATCCCCTCTCAATAGCACAAACCTGGCTGCGTAGTCCTCCTCAGACAGGGTGATAGGCTGTTGCAGGCAGCGTGGCTTCTTCAGTATGAAGAGTAGAGTTGCTGAGGACTAAATATTCTTCTGCGGGCCCTCCCGCCTTCTCCCCTCACTGATCTGTCTTCATTTCCTCAATGTGATGTTTTATTCCAGATATAATTGTCCCATCAGCTTCCTATAATCAGATTACCCAGCCCAGTAAGAATGTGTAATTCACTAATTGTATCTGGCCCAGTATGGACTCCTCTACATCACAGGCCCGGCTTATTCTCTCTCCCACATTGTTGTGGATACAATTTATTATCTATAATTACATTGTCTCCAGTGTTTTCCTTTCCAAAGTAAACAAGAAACCATCACTAAGGACAACAACCAGCAATGTGGACATTTCATCTGGTTATTAGGAGGACATGTAAGAACGGACACATCACGCGGGTCCTACTTACTCGCATGCAAAGATTATAGCTGGGGCAGTTTGTCAATGTTCAGTGTAGGGTCCCTGCTCTCTATTATATTCTTATGTCTTAAAGGGAACCTTTCCATAACATAACCAACCGCACTACACATAGATGTATTTATTGTTATTAGTGTGCAGCCCCCTTCCCCTGTGTATATACCACTTAAAAGTAAATCTACAACTGAGCTCTTGCAACCTAAAAGCAGATCTCCAGGCAGGTGGCTGTTCCAATATCAGAGCGCTGTTTTGCCTGTGTTTTCTGTCTGTCTAGCCCTGACATACTGTATACACGACCTTACCAAAGGCTTAGCCAAGGTGGTGACCTCATTTTTTTCCTGCTGCAGTTAGGAAATACAGTTTGGTCACTTTGGTGACAGCAGCACATTTATGAGTAACTCCTTTGATCACTCTGCTCTCTCCTCCTTTCAGAATGTTCCTTGCCAGCTGCAGTGGATCCTGATTGGCCTATAGGGCTTCCCCTCCCTCTCCCAGTATGAGCTCTGCTGATACCAAGTACACATTGACACTGGTTTTATAAATGTTGATAATGCTTAATGAATACATAACTGCATTCCTTTGTGGTGTTTTTTTGTTTTATATCAGCCTAGAAATCAGCTTTAAAATACCTGAAACCATATGCCAGGGGTAGGCAAACTCAATCCCATCATGCATCTGCCTCTGGGAGTCATGCCTGTGGCTGTCAGAGTCTTGCAATGCCTCATGGGACTTGTAGTGGCACCACAGCTGGATGTTCGGAGTTTGCCTACCCCTGCCATATGTACTACGCGCACTGCTTGTATCCCAATCTGCTGGAGGTGTGTGATCTGATGTCAGTCTTATTACCTGATCATACATCTGCTCTGACTGACATTATCATTGAGTATAGTAAGCACCCTTCTTATAAGGCAGCCACTGATGTCTGATCCGCTCATCCTCCTCTCCATCACAGATTCTGCATCTTATTATATTTTACAGTCACACTCCTAAAATAAATGTGTGACTTCACACTCTGCTTGTCCTCAGATACAGTGTGAGCTGAGCTTCATGAGCCCTGCACCCCGTCTATACCTGGAAACATGTTAATGACGATCCACCATCTACCCTCCGCCTTCTCCTCCATCTGTGACTCCCTGAGCCCGTGCACCAGACACTGACGGATCAGAGAGAGAAGAGCCAACATCTGCCCAGACGCCATTATGTAAGTAGAACTTTGGGAGCTGTCCACAGACTCGGTGCTGAACCCTCCCTACACTGCACAGTGCTCCACACAGTGCTGAACCCTCCCTACACTGCACAGTGCTGAACCCTCCCTACACTGCACAGTGCTCCTCACAGTGCTGAACCCTCCACACACTGCACAGTGCTGAACCCTCCACACACTGCACAGTGCTCCTCACAGTGCTGAACCCTCCCTACACTGCACAGTGCTCCTCACATTGCTGAACCCTCCTTACACTGCACAGTGCTCCTCACAGTGCTGAACCCTCCCTATACTACAAAGTGCTGAACTCTATATATAACACTGCACAGTGCTCCATAATCTCTGTGCTGATCTCTCTCTCTACACTGCACAGTGCTCCTCACAGTGCTGAACCCTCCCTACACTGCACAGTGCTCCTCATGTTTAGTGATCTCTTTCTCATATACACAGCGCTTATAATCCATCTTTGCTGTCACTATTCATCCTCTCAGTGCTGACACTGACATCACCTTTCTTCTCTCTCTGTGCTCAGTTATAGTAGAATTGCTGTTACTTTGTGTCTATACACTCATTGTCTCATGTCTGTCCTTCTTCTCTGATCCATACCCTGTAAGCACTCTGTGCCAACCGCTAAACCCCCCCCCATTCTCTTCCTGTACATACACTGTAGACTCCACATCAGTGCGGCGCATGTTCTCAGCACCGCATATGATTATTGTTAGATTATACAGAGATAACACTTTCAGCGATGTTCTACGAAATGATGAGATACATTGGTTAGAGCAGGGGTGGGCAACTCTAGCCTGCCAGCTTTTGTGGAACTACAAATCCCATGAGGCATTGCAAGATTCTGACAGCCACAGGCATGACTCCCAGAGGCAGAGGCAAGCTGGGATTTGTAGTTACAGCACAGCAGGAGGGCCGGAGCTACCCATCCCTGGATTAGAACAATAACATTTATTATTTATGTCTCATATTTATATAACACTGACATGTTACACAGCATACAAAAAACATTTACATCTTTCTTTTTTCCCCCAAAAGAGTTCACAATGTAACAATACAATTCCAGCATGCAACAGATGGAATGGGAGAAGGATACAACATTTCAGAGGGATGTGGGAGCAGTAAATTGGGTGGGTAGAGTATACTGTATTGGCAGGAGATGCTAATGTAGATCAGGTAATGTGAGAACAAGTTTGATCAGCTGTCTGCAGGAATGCGGAAGAGAGCTCCAGAGAAATGGAGCAGCACAAGAGAAGTCCTGAGCGCTTTACTCAAAAACAATGACCAGAGAGGTAGAACATTTAAGAGTGGATTCATAGTTATCATTGTTTATACCTGAGGACCGAGGAGGTGTAAATGGGCTACCAGTTTAGAGTGTTTTCCAAAAGGTAGAATTAGAAGTTTAAGCAAAATCTTGCAGAAAATGGGAGACCAATTGAGAGATTTAGCAGAGGAGAAGGCAGCATCGGGCGCTCAATATATATTCCTAATCAAAAAACACACCATTTTGTATAGAACAAACCAGTCACAGGAGCCACAAACATGGACCGAGGCAGCCTCAGCCTATCCGCAATGTGTCAAATGATATCTTTATTAATTTAACAATCAAAAACAACAATTTAGAATCTTGAAATCGCACCGCACTGAGATTTAAAAACACGTCAAAACATACGCCCCACTGCCAAACTGGCCACAGTCACCGCTCCTCACCAATCAATACATAGATGACATAAAGTGCACACAATTCATGAGGGGGCCTCCTCTCCAATAAGTAGCACATTAAACAATGCACCTCATTAATATCCCACTTTAGCCAATAACGTGCGTACATTGAGCAATTCACAGCTTATTGATCTGTTCATCCAATCTAAATGGAAATCTCTGCTCTGTAATGCACGTTTACCTTTATTCCATCCGTGATTAGTTCAGTGGCTCCGCTTTAAACTGTGTATGTGTGTCGCTTCTTCCTCACTGTTGATTTTAAAAGAGGTTGTAACAAGGCAACATTACATTGTTTCACTGTCGGCGTTTGTAGCTGTAAGGCTCCATTCACACAGGAGCGGTTGTCTGCGCGTATTTGGCCGTACGAATACACGCGGAAGCGCTCTAAACATAAAAAACAATGCACTTTAAGGCTTTGTTCACACCAAATGCAGAGCAGATCTGCATGAGTTTCTGCACACACAGTGCAGTGGGTTGTGTCGCGTTTTTGATGTGTTCCGGGCCGTTTTTGGTAAAAAAAAAAAAAAAATTTAGTTTAAAATGGGCTTTCAGTGAGTTCCAGGGCGTTTGCATGCGTTTTTCATGCGTTTACATGCGTTCCAGAGCAGGTAATAGGGCCTGCTGCAGTTTTTTTTACCTGCTCTGGAACAGAACGCTGCAATGTGAACTGGAGCTAAAAATACTATTGGAATACATTGGACGCAGTTTTGCTCCGGTCTGTAACTGCTCTGCTCCTGGAACGTGCTTGGTGTGAACAAGGCCTTAATGTGCATTGTTCAGACTATAGCGGGGACCACGCAGTACAAAACCACACGTCCCGCAAAATAGAACAAGCGTGACTTCACAGGCGGTTTCCGCACGTTTGTGGCAATAGTAGGCCCTCATTCAAACGGGTAACGGCTGGCCCATACAGCTCCGTGCTGCGTGCACAGTCGTATTGGGCCGCTCCCGGGAAGGACAGGTGCTGCGTGTGATTATGCACAGCAGCCTGTCCTTCTCTATGGGAGTATGCAGCCGTACGCCCCCTACGCTCACCTGTCCTGCACGTCCGTGCGGGTGCGGGTGTTCGTACTCGTCCGCTGACAGGATGGATCCTGTCTGCGTCCGAGCAGGGAATATGCCGCAGTGTTAATTCTGAAGGCAAACTTCAATTCAGTCTTAGTTTTAGTCTTTTTAGTTTTAGTCTTTTGGCTAAAATGCCATTTTAGTTTTGGTCGTATTTTAGTCATCTGAATAGTTTTAGTCTAATTTTAGTCGAGTGAATCTAATGGGTTTATTTAAAGTGTAATGCATTATACAAGCAAGTCTCTAGAATTTCCAAACTCATTCTATATTCCTGTAGTAAACCTCTATTAACCTGTCATGATTTATGATTGTTGCTCCACAAGGTTTACACAGGGCCTTGTTCTCATTAGCATGAAATGTAAAATGCATCCATCTATCTGCTCTTCTCCTTCTCCCTGACATTGACATGACTGTGCAGTTTGTGCAGTAAGTGTTTGCTAGCTGGTGTCCCACAGGGTAGGTCAGTACGTTATTATATAGTTATATATATCATATAGCTCAGGCAACCGGAAGTCCAAATGCAATAGTCCCTCCCAGAATTTTCGTTTAGTTTTCGTTCCATTATCTTATCTATTACTTAGGGGTCTATTCAATGAGCTGCCGAAGGATCTAGCCGTAGCGTGGACTGATCCTTCTGACAGCTGGGCGGAGCCAGCCGTGATCTTACGGCTGGCTCCGGCCACTTGCAGAGAGATCAGTGTCCCTGGTTACCAGCTAACCAGGGACACTGATCTCCAAACAGTCTAACTCTCCCGGGCGCTCCGGGAGTCTCCCGCTCCCGGCCGCCCAGGAGAGAAACGCTGCTTTTTTTCTTATTCTGACACGGAGCTGTACCAGCAGTGGCGTAACAATCACCATAGCGACCCAGGTGGCCGCTATGGGGCATGGCGGTGCCTTGTCTAGTCTCAAGTGGGCTGTTTGGGTTATCAGGTGGGCGTAACTAGAAATTACAGGGCCCCATACAAAATTTTGCTATGGGGCCCTGTGATTTCTAGTTACGCCCCTGCGTACCAGCCTGAAGTGAATAGCCAAACAGCGTTCGGCTCACTTCGCTTTAGGTCGGTCATTCACTCAGCTGCCTACGGCAGCTGAGTGAATAGACCCCTTAGTTTTTGTTTCATTTTAATCACTAAAAAACATGCAGATGACGAAACAAAAAAAAACACAAATTTTTTTGTCGATGAAATTAACACTGCTATGCCGTTACTCACAGCCCATCTTTCAAGGCTTTATTGCCACAGACACTCGTAAGCTATTGGGAATTCAAAAGTCCTCAGTACTCCACAGCGCTGCTTACTCATATTTTGTTGAAAATCCCGCTATGGTTTGTTTGATTGATGGTGGTCCTCAGACATGGTGAGCCGGGGTTGGGCAGATGCAGTAACAAACGTCAACGTGTTTCGCCCACTCCGTGGCTTCATCAGGATGTAACAGGGGAGAACTGTAGATCACTTAAGAAGCATCCCTTCGCGCTCTCTTAACTGTCAACCCTTTACAAATTCTGTGTCATTTAAGTCCACCTTATTAAAAATCTAGCAATCGGGGGCTTCTTGTCTCTCCAAAGAGAAGGTTCCCAATAGTAATCTGCACTCTACGTTACATGTAGAATTTCAAACATTTAGTGACTGGATGTACTGCTGGACCCTAATGAACATATATATATATAAATGATCACCTGGTCCTTTGGGGGGGGGATCTGTTTCTGAAATATTTTGCTCCATCTTTCTAAATGTATAATGTGGTCACACGGGCAACTGTTTATTGGGATCTTCACATAAACACCCCCCAGGGGGACTCTGATGTGACGGGAGCTCCTGATCTCTTGATGTAAAGGGGGGACTCCCTCTTTGGTGCCAAGGAAACGGTGACATAATCATCCAATGCAAATGCCAATGTCCCTTAGAACTAAAATAATAATTTGGTAATATTTTAGTAATAATTAAAGTTTTTTGCGGCATTACAGTTCCGCTCCCACCCCCTACTTTAACCGCTATTCATTTTTTTGCCAGAATAAATGTGGCAACCTTAGTGTGTGTGTGTGTACTTCCTTTGTTGTGTGCTGTCAGTGGATGGACCCCAGTCCTCACTCCCTAGGTATCCAAATAACATCTGTTTATCCCAGTGTAGAAACAGAATGACAACAAATGGGGAGAGAAACAGAAACCCGGGAGAAGAATGTGACATTGTTAAGGGGAGTGTATGTGGGGGGAATATAACACAGGGGAGAAGCGCGGAGAGACAGTGCTGCATGAGCCATGAGCGTGTGCCGAAAGCTTCAGGACTGAAAAATGGAGGTTCTCTTCTGCAAAGGAGATCTGGGAGGGGGAGTGAGCACTGAGGGGAAGAGCTTAGAGGGAGATGGGAGCATTCACATTCACCCAACATTCATCTGTGTTTCCTACCATCTGGATTCCCTATTCTGGCCTATACCCACCATTTGCATACACTCTCTGCATCAACCACTGGTGCTCTTTATAACTAACGTGAAATGCATGGATGAATGGGGTAAACATTACAGGGAAATACACAAAAGGGTAAAGATTTTAGAGAAGTGAACAATCTAGGACAACATAGCTGATTTGGAAAAATTCTCCAATTCTGCTCCCTTTCCAGTTCAGCTATGTTGGCCTCGATTGTTCACCTTTCCTGCCTTTCCAAACTCTTCATCCTTTTGTGAATAGCTCTGTAAGTGACTGTTGTTGAAGCCAGATATGTCACTGTGACTGGACCATAAAGGTGCCCATACACTTTACAACCCTCGCAAGACTTTTGTCTTGCGAGGGTTGTAAAGTACTTTAAAAAACGTACGATCTGCCCATCTTGGACAGGCAGATCGTACTTGCGATCATCGCAAGCCCGCCCCCTAGAGGGGCCGGCTTGCGATGTTCATGTGCGTGTAAAGGCCGGCGTCCCAATACTTTTGGCAATATAGTGTACGTACATAGCCTCCATTCAGGATTCCTCTTATATGTATACTATATATTATTAAAGTAAGAAGACATTTGCCGGCTTAAAATTCCCTCTATTCAGGTTTATTTAAGATGCTAAATATATAAACTGCACTTCACTGAAATTCATCTTTCATTGTTCTGAAATACAAAGTCCCTCGAGGACCCTCATTGTGGGAAATATTGTATTAGTATCACACTGTAACTACACATCAATAATACTGGATGCGATTCGGTATATCAATTCCTTTTGAGCATTTTGAAAGGATTTATTTATCTTTTGCTTCCTTTTTTTCCTGCAGACTAAAGGTGGCCATACACTTTACAACCATCGCAAGACCTTAGTCTTGCGATGGTTGCAAAGTACTTAAAAAAACGTACGATCTGCCCATCTTGGACAGGCAGATCGTACTTGCGATCATTGCAAGCCCGCCCCCTTGAGGGGCCGGCTTGCGATGACTGCAATGAGGGGCGGGCTTGCGAGGACGGCAAACGGGCAGTGTCAGTTGTCGAACAAGCAGGCCACTAACTCGCCGAGAATCGTACGATTCCCGGCGGGTTTTCCAGCCTGCTTGTTCGATGGAAGACGTGCGACCGCACAGTAGAAACGGTCGCACGCCTTCCATACACTGTACGATTCTCGTACGATTCTCATACGATCGCGTGATTTCCTGTGATTCTCGTACGAGAATCGTACAGTGTATGGGCACCTTTAGTCTCAGTGGCTACAATCTACCTCCAGGGTTCACACACCTTCTTCCAGTCAACGAGGAGGTGAGGTTGCTAGTAATTGGTTAATTCAGCTGTCTTTTTGCATACAGTATGAGATTTAGATGAACACAAATGATATAAAGCATGCTCTGTTAATCTCATCACCTCCCAGAGAATGTGTTATGAAGCCTGTTAATTTCAGATAATTGTGTGAAGTTTATCCTTGGCCTGATTACCCGGCATTTATCTCAGAACAAAGCAGCAGTGCTGATTCCTCCTCCACAATATATTTATACAGCAGTACATGTCTGAGGTTAATGCAGGTATTTTTCTCAGGGATTCTGTGCAGTATTTCTTTAATCTATCTATGAAGTAATATTATTCAGTCTAACAATGAATGTCTGTAAGACAACAGATCTATTTTTAAAGCAGTCTATAAACACTTTTTGTTAACTATAAAGCTGATTACAAAGGTATATATTTTTCTATGTTTTTTCTTAGATTTGATTCAAATATTTGATTGTATATGAAGACATTTCTCTCAACTTTCCACACTCATGTTTGGTTGGCCAAAGACGGAAAACAGGCAGATATCTCCCTAATGTTGACAAGCAGAGAGATAGATTCCCACCCTCAACTGACTCCCTATTTGTTAATACTAGGGATGCACCGATACTAGTATCAGTGCCGATACCGAGTATTTGGGCGAGTACTCGTATTCGCCCAAATGCTCCAATACCTTCCCCGATACTGGAGCTGCCGGTCAAAGGAAGATTTCCTCTGATCGGTAGGGCCGTAGGGGAACATGGAGCCAGCTTCCCGGCCAAGCAGCATCGAGCCGGCTCGATTGTGATTGGCCGGGAAACCGGCTTCCCAGCCAATCAGGAAGCCGAGCGGTGTGTAATGACCCACACTCCGGCTTCCTGATTGGCTGAACAGCCGGCTCGATGCTGGTTGGCTGGGAAGCCGGCTTTGCAGCCAATCAGCATGGAGCCAGCTTCCCGGGCAATCAGGAAACCTGAAGGCAGGTCATTACTCGCCGCCCAGCTTCCTGATTGGCTGGGAAGCCGGCTCGATGCTGATTGGCTGGGAAGCCAATCACACTCGAACTGGCCAACCACCATAGAGCCGGCTTTCTAGGCAATCAGGAAGCCAGGCGGCATGTTATTACCTGCCACCCCGCTTCCTGATTGCCCATGCCAACGGAAGCACCGCTATCAGTACTAGGTATCGGCGAGTACCTAAAACAAAATATCGGCACTCATACTCGATACCAAAAAGCCGGTATCGGTGCATTCCTAGCTAATACATCTTTAAATTTATCGTTTTTAGTACCAGATGTTGACCTGGTATCAACCTCTTGCAACCCATGGTTGTGTCTTGTTATCACCAGATCCATTCTGATAAAAGCAGAGTGTGACATCAGTGTGCTATTCAGTCACAGACTGGATAGCTATAAGTGTGGGGGGCTATAAGTGTTACTTAACTGCAGCAGAGACAGGGTTGTGCTGTGTGACGAAGCTGTGTAAGTCTCAAACTTAGATGGACAGAAATACAAATCCTTTGGCAGGTAAAACAGCTCCCTTATTCAGAATGTATTTTATTTGTGTATTTAGGTGTTGGATCCTGGTTTGGCTTATCGGGCAATTTTCCACAAATATTTGTATTTCTTTTATATTGCTTTACCTCTCCATTTTCATAATCCAACAATTGGTCTTGGGTAGTAGGTTTAAGTAAGCAAATTTGACTTGTATGGTATGGATCACTCCTAAATTCTCCACCAGACATTTGATGGATAAACATAGTGTTAAGGTGACTATGAGGACACAGTAGATGGGGCAGTAGACCAGATTATGGTCAGGATCAGACAAGGGTCTTGGCAGGCAATAAGCAGAGAGTGGTCAGGCTGTCCAGTAAGCAGTAGACAAAACAGGAGATGAGAGCATAGTCGGGACCAGGCAGGGATCAAGGCAGGTGGCAAGCAGAGAGAGGCAGTCCAGGTCGGCAAAAAGCAGTCAGTAGGCAAGGTTTGAGATGAAAGTGTAGTCGGGTCCAGGTAGGGGTCAACATAAGAAGCAAGCAGAGAGTGGTCAGGTGATCGGGGTCAGCAAAACAGGGACAGGCTTCAGTATTACAGCTCTTAGCACAAACAGGACAGCTGGTTTGATGACACAGCACCAGCCACTTCCAGAGCTTGCAGAGCACAGCATCATTTCAAGGATTGCGGAGAAGTTTTGGCAAGGATCCTGCAACTACTATTAAAAATACTGGCCGGGATTCCGTGGGTGCCATTAGAAGTACTGGCAGGAATCTTGTGAGCACAACTGGATGTATTAGCAGGTATTTTGTAAGTCCTGGCAGGGACCCTCCAAATACTGTAACACATGGGCAAGAAGCCCTAAAACACACTCTAGAATGTGGACTGGCTCATTAGAAGCTCTCAGTTTGAGGCTAAATCTCGCGATGTATAATATACACTTCAATGCATAATGCACGCAATATATGATGATAAACACCGTAAACAGATAACTATGAGTTGACAGTATCCAAGCATCATTTCAATTACAGATAACATTACCTGCTTGTCTGATTTAGCACAAGGCCATCAAATTGCCACTTAGAGCAACAAAGGGTAAGAGTTGTGCTGAGATGAGCCTGAAGTTTGGACTGCTAACTGAATTTCATATATGTTAATTGTGTTCTCTGTCTTTAGGTCAACCTCAGGAGGTCTTCCACCAAGCAGTAACCGCAGATTGATTCAAACTCAAGCCCAAGTCAATGAGGTAAATCACAGATGAGACATTTACAGAGTTAGTACATAAAGACAGCAAAGTGCAGCAACTAGTTTGAACGTATATCTCACTGATCTGATGTCACTCATCTATGATCTGGTAACTGCATTACATTATTCCTCTTTTCAATTCTGTATTGAATGGACCAGTATGTAAGTAACCAACAACTACAACACAGTCACTTGCACCGCCACCCTGAAGCCATTTTATCCACAAGTGGTATAGGCACCAAGTGACACATAAAAAAAAGTGAAATACAGAGCTGTCATTACAAACCTAGTACTGTAATGCAAAATCTGAGCTATAGCTCCCTAACCTATCATGCAGCACAATTCATGTTTCCTATTCTTTTACTGCCAGATTCTAATATAGGGGATCCCTATACAATTTAAAGTTGGCTTTACCTGATTTCAGAATCACATAGTAAAGGACAAAGTACCCCATGCAAAGACTGTGGTTTGTTGCTACCATTGCATTGCTTGGAATACACCCAACAGAAAGGGAAGCATGCTAGAGGCCAAACCATCATTCTGAATATGCCACCGAGAGTACACAAAAAGTGTTGTATAGAAGAAATTAATGCTGTATGGAATGACATGCATTAGAAAGGATTGAGTTCATTTGTGTTGTGGAACCTTCTGCACCTCTCACGGTTATGCCCCAGGTGAAGACAACTCCCTACCAAATAATAATTACAGGAAGTGCTTACTGCAAACAAAAGAGTGCATCACGTAGCCCACTATAGAAACCATGATAAATGTGAATCACAATGTATGTCTGTATGACCAACATCAACAACCATTGATAAACTTCATACCTCCTGCTATACACTGAGTGGCCAGATTATTATGACCACCCCATCAGTACTTCGTTGGGCCACGAGATGACTTCGTTGGGCCGCCTCGTGACTCCACGAGATGTTGAAAGGTGATGCGAGGAATCTGACACTGCAATGTTGCACTTCTGTTGTCTGCCCTAACATTGACTAGTTGCTGACGGCCACAATTTGCACGTTCATCAAATTATAGCTAATTTGCCTACAAACGTCAGGTGGTCATAATAATCTGGCCACTCAGTGTATATTCAATGTATTAACAGCTACTTTGAGTGCATACAATTTCATCAGTGTCTAGGGTTTGCAACACAACAGTCCAGCTAGGGTTGAAGAAAGGTCAGATAAACTTTAAACGTTTTAGTTAAATATTTCTAGGGCTTCCTTGAAATGGGTGGGGGGGTTAGTCCACACTTATATTTTTTTTAAATATGATAATGACAAGCACTAAAAACATGATCATCTGTTTATGTGAGGGCTCTCCTTTGCTTAGTGTTCCTGCCAAATAGGATATCATGAATTGCTTTCTGATGTGATTCCATACAGCATTCATTTGGTAACAACAATTCAGTCACTAAACACTAGGTGGCAATAAAACAAAATATGGCAGGACACTGACGCTTACCTATTTTATTTTTTTCTATAATGGCCAAAAATTTTGTTTTCTAATTCCTGAAACCAACTTCTGTTGAATTGTATTACTTGGCAAATTTCAATTATCACATTTTATCACAATGCTGTCATGCCTTCAAACCAGCAAAATGACCTTAAAGCAGATGTCAAGGTAAAATGAAAAAAACATTTGCAGTACTTCTCTGTAATACATACACATTTCCCCATGTTTTCTCCCTTTAAAGACCCTGCAATTTCAAACAATACTTCATCTGCAGAAAATGCCCAGCGCATAGTTTGCTATTGGCTATGGGCTAACAACACATGGCATTTTGTGGACTAAGTGGTGTCAGCCCTGCCCATTGTCCTTTACTAAACTACTTAATCCATCCCACTGTCTTCTTATGCACAGCATGAGGGCTAATTGACTTGTAGTGCAACATAAGAAATCTTGATTTCTGACAAGATTAACAGGTATTATCAAACAGATATAACAACATTTTACATTGGTATATTTAGAAACAAAATTAAGCAAATAAGAAAGGTTCATTGTCAGGGTTAGGGCCAGCAATAAAAATCATGGGGCCCCATACAACTTGCCTGACAGGGCCCCTCTCACCGCCCCCATGCTCTGTGTGACTGCTGCTACGGGATACAAAAGAGTAGATTAGCTGCAATTGTGTGGGCATAGGGAATGATGTCAAGTTGGCATCATTAGCCACATCATTGCTATCGTCTTTTTCTTTGTGCTTCTCAGTCCCCCAGAATGCTCACAAGTGCGGCCTGCCAAACAGAGCTGCAAAGTCTGACTCTGCTAGTGTCTGTACATTTCCTGCTGGGCCCCCTTCCTGACCCTATGGAGCCTGGTCCCAGTACAGTGGGACTGCCTGTACACCCCTGTCAGCAACCCTGACTTCTTACAGAAGGAACTGGAGAGAGCGGAGTTGGTGCCACAATGTCACTCTCTCCCTTCGTATCAGGCCTAGGTATCATTAAATACAGCATCATTGAGAGTTTGTGATACTCTCCTGATGGTGCTCTGTTAAAGGTATCAGGGTAGGAAACCTACGCTGTGATAAATATGAAGCTTATTATTTGTGATCTCCTTCTTAAATGCTACATGCATGGCACATATGCCGATCTAGTGCCTTCAATAAATTATGAGTCCATTTCCTGGGACAAGCATGCCGCCTCATCTCTTCTTGTTTGGCAGCTTCAATGACTGTTGTAGTATTTGTATCTACTAGGAAATAAATGATTCAGAGATTGGAAGAGGATGCTGGTGTAATACGCTTGCTGGGGGTTGAGTATTGGCAGGGTGGAAAGTAGGAGTTATCAGATGGGGCCATTAGGAAGTGAACGTCACCGAGTAACGAAGATTAGATGAGGCAGCCAGAGATCTATAGAGAAGATACAAGATGAAAACATGTTACACAGTAATCATAATTAGTATAAATACGGTGACGGAAATATGAACAGACTGTACTCAGGAAGAAAGAGAAAGTACTGTAGAGTACATTGCAATTGTCATTTCATGTGTTCTCAAACAACAGCTTGCCTTAAATTAATTATTCTTTATCTTAAACTGGCCACCCACAGGCAGATGGGGCTGCCCAGGAATTTGTTCTCTGAATTGTAGGCAGGCCAATCTGAAATCAAAGTGCACTTCCCTTGTATTAGGTGATCTGAGTCGGTGCAGTGGTAATGATCAGACAAGATTCCCAAACACACTGATAAAGCCCTTGAACAATGGCATCTTCTACCCTGACTATCTGGCACTAAAGCCTTCAGGAGCAGCTCACACACTGCCCAGGGGGGCAGAGAGGCTCTGAAGCAGCTTTTCTATGTAGACACAGAGCCCATGCATGGATAGCAATATACAGCATCTCACTATTATCTTCTTCTTTGAGTGTGTGATTCTGATCCAATCTTTGTTGTGTCAGGTTGCCATAGAGCTGGGCTACTTCTTGGTGTGTCAGAGCAGCAATCAGACTCTCCTACATGCTGCTGCACATGGAATTTTAACACTTTCTGCAGCACTTAGCAAAAAAAAAGAAAAGAATGATGTACGAGTGAATATGCAGCCTGACTACATCACAGTAATAATAATAAAAAAAGTTGAAATAGGCTTTAATCATGTGTAGCAGTATTCACTCCTAGGCAGTGTGGAATGACCCCCAAAGCAGTGTAGCTGGCTAGCATTTAAAATCACTGGGTGGGTCTTTGGCTTATTGTGGGACAAATATTGTGTGGGCATAGGGAATGATGTCAAGTTGGCATCATTAGCCACATCATTGCTATCGTCTTTTTCTTTGTGCTTCTCAGTCCCCCAGAATGCTCACAAGTGCGGCCTGCCAAACAGAGCTGCAAAGTCTGACTCTGCTAGTGTCTGTACATTTCCTGCTGGGCCCCCTTCCTGACCCTATGGAGCCTGGTCCCAGTACAGTGGGACTGCCTGTACACCCCTGTCAGCAACCCTGACTTCTTACAGAAGGAACTGGAGAGAGCGGAGTTGGTGCCACAATGTCACTCTCTCCCTTCGTATCAGGCCTAGGTATCATTAAATACAGCATCATTGAGAGTTTGTGATACTCTCCTGATGGTGCTCTGTTAAAGGTATCAGGGTAGGAAACCTACGCTGTGATAAATATGAAGCTTATTATTTGTGATCTCCTTCTTAAATGCTACATGCATGGCACATATGCCGATCTAGTGCCTTCAATAAATTATGAGTCCATTTCCTGGGACAAGCATGCCGCCTCATCTCTTCTTGTTTGGCAGCTTCAATGACTGTTGTAGTATTTGTATCTACTAGGAAATAAATGATTCAGAGATTGGAAGAGGATGCTGGTGTAATACGCTTGCTGGGGGTTGAGTATTGGCAGGGTGGAAAGTAGGAGTTATCAGATGGGGCCATTAGGAAGTGAACGTCACCGAGTAACGAAGATTAGATGAGGCAGCCAGAGATCTATAGAGAAGATACAAGATGAAAACATGTTACACAGTAATCATAATTAGTATAAATACGGTGACGGAAATATGAACAGACTGTACTCAGGAAGAAAGAGAAAGTACTGTAGAGTACATTGCAATTGTCATTTCATGTGTTCTCAAACAACAGCTTGCCTTAAATTAATTATTCTTTATCTTAAACTGGCCACCCATAGGCAGATGGGGCTGCCCAGGAATTTATTATCTTCTTCTTTGAGTGTGTGATTCTGATCCAATCTTTGTTGTGTCAGGTTGCCATAGAGCTGGGCTACTTCTTGGTGTGTCAGAGCAGCAATCAGACTCTCCTACATGCTGCTGCACATGGAATTTTAACACTTTCTGCAGCACTTAGCAAAAAAAAAGAAAAGAATGATGTACGAGTGAATATGCAGCCTGACTACATCACAGTAATAATAATAAAAAAAGTTGAAATAGGCTTTAATCATGTGTAGCAGTATTCACTCCTAGGCAGTGTGGAATGACCCCCAAAGCAGTGTAGCTGGCTAGCATTTAAAATCACTGGGTGGGTCTTTGGCTTATTGTGGGACAAAACAAA